GACTGGTGCCCAACTGGATTTAAGGTAGGACTGGGGGATGTGAAGTCCCCATGTCTGTCAGTAAGCAGCAGATCTGCAGAGTCATGGTCTATATCCTTTGGGAACATTGCCCTCAGTGTTCATCTTTGGCCGTGGTGGTGGCCTTCAGAAGTGAACCAGAGCTGGGCACCAGTGCTCACGCCTGTTATCCTAGTTACTCAGGAGGCTTTGATCTGAGGATCATAGTTCAAAGCCAGCCTAGGCAGGAAAGTCTGTGAGACTCTTTATTTCCAGAAAACCAGAAGTGGCTATGGCTCAAGTGATAGAGCACTCGCCTTGAGCTGAAGAGCACAGGGACAGCACCCAAGCCCACAGTTCAAGCATCACAACTGACAAAAAAAAAAAGTGAACCAGAGAAGAAATTTTTTCAGTGATATTTCTGCAAGTTTTTTACTGAGTCCTTACACTAGGCAGTGTATGTATACACACACACATACACACACACACACAAATACACACACACACACAATAGGTTGTTTCTGAAAGGTTTTTGTGCCTAGTAGGATTAATGTAGGAAATACAGTTTGATTTATTTTTTTTTCCAGTTATGGGGCTGGAACTCGGGCCTGGGTCATTATCTCTAAGCTCTTTTTGCTCAAGGCTAGCACTCTACCCTTTGAGCCACAGTGCCACTTCTGGTTTTCTGGTGGTTCATTGGAGATAAAGAGTCTCATGGACTTTCCTGCCCAGGCTGGCTTTGAACCATGATCCTCACATCTCAGCCTCCTTAGTCGCTGGGATTACAGGTATGAGCCACCAGTGCCCAGCTAGTTTTGTCTTGCACATGTAAGCATTCTATTAGAATTTTGTGTCATGGTGTATGTGTGGGGATTACAAACACAAACATATTCATACATCCAGTCTTGGGCTTTTAACTCAGAGCCTCTTACTGCTAACTGGCTCTCTACCATGAACCACATCTCTTGCCCTTGTTTATTGGGTTATTTTTCAGGTATGATGTTGCATTTTTGTCTTGCTCCTTATGATTCTCCAAAGTGTCTGGGGTCATTAGGTACATTCTACTATGCCCAGTTGATGGAAATGAGTTCTTAACTAACTTTTGCCTGGATTGGCGTACAACCATGATCCTCTTGATCTTTGCCTCCTTGCAGAGATTACTGATGTCAGCCACTATGCCTGCCTTGTATGTATTTTTGAAAAAAATAAACTATTTAATATTTTAAAAATTATAATAAAAATCCCACCTCATTCTCCAAGTAAGTAGAAATTGATTTCAATTTCTTATAGATTATCTTATTCAAAATAAAACTATGACAAATTTCTCTCTTTCTCTCTTTGTCAATCCTGGGGATTAAATTCATGGCCTGGGTGCTGTCCCTGAGTTGCTTTTGCTTAAGGCTAGTGCTCTACCATTTTAGCCACAACACCATATCCATCTTTTACTGAGTGGTTTATTGACACTAAGAGTCTCACAGGGCTGGGTATGTGGCTTAGTGGTAGAGTGCTTGCTTAGCATGCATGAAACCCTGGGTTCTATTCCTCAGTACCACATACACAGAAAAAGCTGGAAGTGGTGCTGTGGCTCCAGTGGTAGAGTGCTAGCCTTGAGCAAAAGAAGCTCAGGGACAGTGCCCAGGCCCTGAGTTCAAGCCCTAGGACTGGCAAAAAAAAAAAAAGTCTCAGACTTTCCTGCCTAGACTGGTTTCAAACTGCAATATTCAGATCTCAGCCTCTTGAGTAGGATTATAGATGTGAGCCATCAGTGCCCAGCTGTCAGGAATCGAATGTTTTTGCACTGAAAAAGATCACATCGTAGTTTGTCTCCTCCTAGGAATTCTGTCCTGAGTTGTTTCAAACACAAAATATGTACCAGCTTTTCACTGATACATGTTAGAAACCTTGCTATCACTTTTCAGCTTTTTCTAGAAGTTAATTACTAATTTCTGTTCATCTCTGGTTTCTTGTGTTTTATTTTTCATTGTTGCTTTCTCATTCAATTGTCATTACTTCTGGTAGCTTCATTGCAATAAGACTTACCATGTAGCCCAAGCTGGCCTCTAACTCATAAGCTTTTTGCCTCAGTCTCCTGAGTGCTGGGATTACAGGCCTGTACCACCTTGCCCTTAAATTCTTACGGAGAATTTTTTGTTCTGATTATGTTATTTTCCTCTAGATAGAAGATAAATAGTTGCCTAATTTTTCAAATTAAGAGTTGGACTGAGCACAGCCTGTCCATTCATTCACTTAAGGATTGTTCATGGCTGTTTTTGTCATACATATATATTAGCAAGCTTCAACAGTTGTGACAAAGAACCTTAATCCTGGAATTTGTAGTTATGTCTTTTGCATACACATTGCATATCTCCTGGTTCTCAAACTTAGAATGCCTGTTTTGTTTCTTCAATGCCACCTCTGCCCCCACTTAGCACTAAAGTAGGTCACTTCCCACCACAATGGTAACAGCTTCATATCACCTCTGGCCTTTGTCACCTTTGTATGTGCCTGCTGGCCTTAGAGGCTTGGTTGGTGGTCAGCAAGTTGGGCCAGTGTTCCCTCGGGGTACTGCAGTTGTATTCAGTATTCGGGGTCTACTAAACTGCAGGTTTCCACTACAGAAATTCATTGCCATCTTATTGAAGTCTGTGGAGGAAAGGCATTGCCATCTTATTGAAGTCTGTGGAGGAAAGAAACCACAAAGAATATAAGACAGGACCTAGGTTTCAAGAATATAAGACGGACCTAGGTTTCAGATGGAAGACAGTCCCCTCCCCTGGGCACCTATCATATGACACAGTTGCTAGGACACAGCTCTTATGCCACTTGGGACCCAGCCAGAATGACCCAACTCCAAGGCTCCTCTTTCCCTGCATTTACCTTCTCAGGACCCATCCACCTACTGTTTTACCCCCTGTCTGGCACAAAGGAAGCCCCAAGCCTGTTTGCAGGAAGCACCAAGTATTTTCCCCTAGTCGTGGGAGTGTACCTATAATGTCTTCTGTTTCAGAAACAGTAGGCACCACTTCTGGACTTTGATATAGACTTCATGGAATGCTGTCTTCTCTTACAGGTGGGCATTAACTACCAGCCCCCCACTGTGGTCCCTGGGGGAGACCTGGCCAAGGTGCAGAGGGCTGTGTGCATGCTGAGCAACACCACCGCCATTGCCGAGGCCTGGGCCCGCCTGGACCATAAGTTCGACCTCATGTATGCCAAGCGAGCCTTTGTGCACTGGTATGTGGGCGAAGGCATGGAGGAAGGGGAGTTCTCTGAGGCCCGGGAGGACCTGGCAGCGCTGGAGAAGGATTATGAAGAGGTGGGCGTGGATTCTGTGGAAGCAGAGGCTGAAGAAGGGGAAGAATACTGAGAGCCATGTTGCTGGCAGGTGTTTCTTCCTGACTCCTGCCACTCCTCAACATGGCTGACTTTGAGTTGTTTTCAATTAAAGCTTCTGCATAAACCCCAAATCTCCTGCTGCTTATCTCTGCCCACAGAAATAGACAAGCTCTCCAAGCCACATAGAAGCTGGTATAAGCTCCATTGAAATAGGTCTTGGGAAAGCATTGTTGAATGGACTTGACCTCAAGGAATTAATACTTCCAATCTCCTAGATTTGCTAACTCCTAAGAAAACTGAGAAGCTGAGCACAAGTGGCTCACACTTGTAATCCCTAGCTGCTCAGGAAGCTGAGATCTGAAAATTGTGGTTCAAAGCCAGCTCAGGCAGGAAAGTCCGTAAGATTCATCCAGTTAACCACAGAAAAAGCTGGAAGTGGCGCTGTGACTAAGGTGAGAGAGTGCTAACCTTGAGCAAAAGGAGCTCAGGGACAGTGCCCAGTCTGAGTGTTCAAGCCCCATGCTCACCAAAAAATAAAATAAGTTGGGCTGGGAAGGTGGCTCAGTGGTAGAGTGCTTGCCTTGCATGCATGAGGCCCTGGGTTCGATTCCTCAGCACCACATAAGCAGAAAAAGCAGGAAGTGGTACTGTGGCTCAAGTGGTAGAGTGCTAGCCTTGAGCTGAAGAGCTGAGGGACAGCACCCAGGCCCAGAGTTCAGGCCCTATGACTGGGGGGAAAAAAATTGAGTTAGGTTTTCTCCATTGAATGCTATTTGAAGATTTCTCCATTGATGAAACATGCTGACTCAATTATAAAGGTTTAGAGATTGGGAGTGTAGATAATGTCTTCAAGCCTAGCACTCAGAAGACTGAGTTTGAAGCTAGCCTGGGCTATATAGCAAGACCCTGACTTAAAACACAGAAATAGAGGGTTTAATCTAAGGTCTGTGGTGAGAAATGTCCACAAAATCCCTAAAATTGGCTTAAATGTGAAGGACAGGACATAAGAATGAGAAAGGGGTGTTAGTAAATTCTTCATATATCCAGTCTTGACCTCACTGTGTGGTCATTTGGAGGCTGTTTTCCCCTCCATGCCCACATTGCCACCTTTGTGGTCTTTCCAGGAGCCTTTTGCTACAAGGGAAGCATGGTGACTCCTTTATAAAAGACCAGAGGGCATACTTTCTCAGACCCCTAAAACGGAGCAGAAAGATGAAGTTACTAGTTTCACTTGCTTAGTTTGGCTATAGTGTGATGAAGATTAGCAAACAGAATTCATTTTAAATCTTTGTGCTTTAATATTTCCAACAATGATGTCTAATTAATACATTCGGCCTTTCAGAAACATGTAAGGCAAATAAATGCACACAGGGTGGTGGGCCAGCATTTGGGGAGAAGGGTGGCCTGCAGGCTCTGCTCCTGCAGGCTCTGCTCCAGTCCTATGTGCCACCTCGAGAGGTGCTCTTCCCGGGCCCACCCCCCTTGGGTAGCCTGGTGGCACTGGGTTGGCGGGGCATCCGCTGGCTGGATCCTTCCCTGCTGTTGCGTTCTCCTAGTGTGGGTGTGCCAAGAGCAGGGCCGCCTTTGTTTCTGCCTGCAGAGACACAGAATACAACTGTTAGATACAGAACACCTGTCATGTTTGTTTCCTGAGCAACATTCTGGTCAGTTAGTACTGGAGATCTCATATCAGCTCAGAGTCCTGAGGCTCAAAACTGCCTAAATTAGTAAACCATAGAAAAACACTTGACAGTTTGTATGGTGCCCTTGAGGAGTGTCCCAAGGACAGAGCACAGATATTTTCAAAGCACACATGAGTTGAGTCCATTCAGGGAATGTAGTCTGGCTAATCTTCCCTACACCATAAATATGATCTGATCCTTTGCAGACACAGGAGGAATGTATTCCTCCTGGGGAGCTAGGAACCATCTACTGCAGTGGCCTCAGGAGATGCTCACAGGCACAAAACACAGTCATCACCAAGACTGAAGGCCAATTTCAGATTCTGGAAGTTTTTGCTTATAAGCATATTCCTGAAATACATTGGTCACGCCTCTTGTACTAGGGTTTAGCTACTGACTACATAGGGCTCCTGCCAGGCTTTGAGTGTTTGAAAATGATCTTCAGAGAGCCACTCCCAAGTCCATTGGTTCACAAACTCCTTGGTATGTAGTTTTCCTTAGTCTTAGTCTCTTATTTCCAATAAAATCTCTTATTTCCAATAAAATCTCTTATTTCCAATAAAATCTCTTATTTCCAATAAAATCTGTAGCCATAGTTGGACTTGATTTTTTACAACTTTTTATAGAGCTTCATTTTAAAAGGGGTAGTTATACTCTGGGTGCTAGGGGTTCAGCCTGTAATCCTCAAGAGGCTGAGATTAGAAGATCACAGTTCAAAGCTAGCCTGAAAAGGAAAGTCTGTGATACCCTTATCTCCAATTCTCCAGCAAAAAGAAGGAAGTCGAGTTGTGGCTCAAATGATAAGAGTGCTAGCCTTGAGCAATTGGGGTCATAGACAGTGTGTAGACCCTGAGTTCAAACCGGAGGACTGATACAAACAAAAAGGATGTAACTACTAGGTCAAGAGTGCTAAGAACACATATAAGACTTGAGAGTATCTTGTGGGAACAAGACATGCTTGGAGCAGACTTACTCAGAGGGCCACAATCCTTCTACATGGATAGACAGCTGGCTTGCCCTGAGACACTGACCAGGGCACGTATTCCACTTTGACCTGCATCCTCCCCATTGTTTTTCCTCATCCTGACAAACCCAGGCTGTGACCTGGACAGCTACATGTTTTTCCCTGTAGGCTTGAACATTAAACCAGGATGGGAATATTCTAAAACACTGGTGGGCTTGTTCAGGTTGTTGCCTCAAATACTCAGAGACCAAGCAGGTGGTTCAACATATAAAAATAGCCCCACCACAGCCAAATTCCTTGAACGTCAGCACAATTCGTTCCTGACTCCCTCCCTTGCAGACACATCCAGTCCATCTTTCTCTTTCCTGTCTCCAAGTCATGCTGCAGCTCCCCCTGCCCCACACCCAAAGTTTCCCTAATCACTCCCAATCCCTCAGCCATTTAATGCTTCTTTCTCTGGAATCCCAACTGGCCTTACCCTGGACAATCGGGGACAGATTTTTCCAGAGCCCTCTGCCTCTGCTTTCGGGATGACTCAAATCTCAGGTTCAGCCCTGGCTCTTTGCCAACTTAAGTCACAAAGCCTGCAATAGGGAAGAGTGAGTTCTTAGAGAAAATGGTCAAGGAGGTGGTCTTTGAGGTCATTTCTATTTCACCACTGTCACCTCTATGGCTAAGACACCCAGCCTCCTCCAGGGGCTCTTCCATCTCATTTTCCATACTTTGAATCCTAACCAGGAAGCTCTCAATACCTGCAGAGAAGAGTTTATAAGAGTTTCTCAAACCTACTTTCTCAAAATGAGGGGAAATTTTGCCTAATATGGTGAGGTTATTGTGATGACCTATTTGCAAAACTGACAGCTGGTCCCCATCTTCCTGTTTAGTGTTTGATTTTGTATATTTGCATGCGTGCGTGTGAACTCAGGGCCTGGGCACTGTCCTTTAGCTTTTTCACCCAAGGCAAGTGCTCTACCACTTAAGCCACAGCTCCACTTCTGTTTTTTTTTGTTTTTGTTTTTTTCCTTTACTGGTCTTTGAGGCTTGAACTCATGGCCTCGATCTGTCCCTGAGCTTTTGTGCTCAGTACTAGCTTTCTACCACTTGAGCCATAACTCCATTCTGGCTTTTTGGTGGTTAACTGGAGAAAAGAGTTTCATGGACTTTCTTCCCCAGGAAGGCTTTGAACTATGATCCTCAGATCTCAAGCCTTCTGAGTAACTAGGACTATAGGCATGAATCACCATGCCTAGCTAACTTCTGGATTTTTGCTGGTTAATTAGAAAGTCTCAAGGACTTTCCAGCCCAAGCTGGATTTGTATTGCAGTCCTTAAATCTCAGCTGCCTAGGTAGTTTGGATTATAGGTGTCAACCACTGGTGCCTGGCTCTGACTTCCTTTAGTTTTCCCCTACTCCTCCCTGAGCTTCACATTCAAATGATCACGCATACTTGATTCAACAAAGACGTATTAATGGGTCCACCAGAGATGGTTGAGTGGTGTTGGGTGCAGTGACTCGTGAATATTATAAGTGAATATACTACTCATGAATCTACAAAAGAGCAGTTATGACAAGTGCTCATTGTTCTAGACTCCATTGACTGGTAAGTGAACACTCATAGGTCGATGTTCCTGTCATCCAGCAGTGTCTCCCACAGCATGCTGGTGGTCTCTTGGTAGGTCACAGTCAGCAGGCTGAGCCAGGAATATGAGGTCTAACCCTGGGTGCCCAAATATCCACATGCCTTCTTCAATGAGTGTGTCATGCCCAACTCATCCCAAGGCTTAAAGAGCAAGGCAGATATGGGATATAGGCCTGACTCTGAAGCAAGTTTCCTTTTAGCTTGTCACACATCTGAATTTCTTCTTTGCCCTCAGGACACTGAGCAGGTCCTTCTGGAAACTAAAGGACAGGGAAGTAGAAAAGAGGAAATAATGCCCATCTATAAATTTGATGTGGCTGATAAACCCAACCTAACATGAAAAGGGAAACTAGTATAACCACAAACCATAGGAAACATGAAGAAAACCCATCTAGTGTTGGGGTGCAACTCAGTGGCAAAGAGCTAGAATGCATGAGGCAGCCTCATGGCTGCAAAACAAAAACAACTTCAAAACACACTGCCATATGCTGGGTACTGGTGCTCATGTCTATAATCCTAGCTATTTATGAGACTGAGGATCATGGCCCAGGCAGGAGGGACTCTTACCTCCAATTAACTAGCAAAAAGTTGGAAATGGAGCCATGTCTTAAGTGGTAGAACGCCAGCCTTGAGTGAAAAAGCTAAAGGATAACAACTAGGCCCTGAGTTCAAGCCTAGTATTGATTCTGGTGTGTGTGCATGCGCACGCGCACACATACCTCCTGCCCCTCACACCTCCCAAAATACTTATCCAGCTCTACAAGATTCTTAGACTCTTCAGGAATGACATGCTTGTTAATAGGGACACAGGTTCAGGCTTTCCCATTTTATCCACAATGGGGTTATTAAGGTCAGATGAAGTTGGACGGTGACAGCAAGTGATGATCCCAGGCCCTGTCCCTGAAGGACATTCCTATACACCAAAGAATGTCAGAAGTTCCTCCTGCCCCAGAAAGCAGCTGGTGATCACTCAGTATTTTGTGACCTCCTATAGAAGCAAAACTGCAAAATGCACCAACCTGTCAGCCCCATAATTTGGGGAGTCCCTGAAATCAGGGATTGGGCCAAGTCAAGCTGTGACTCTCTTTTATTTATTTTTGTGCTAGTACTAAGGCTTGAATTCAGGGCCTAGGTGCTGTCCCTTAGCTTTTTTGCTCAAGGCCCGTGCTCTACCATTTGAGACACTGCTCCACTTCTGGCTTAGTTAATTGGAAACAAGAGTATTCTGGACTTTCCTGCCAGAGCTGGGCTTTGAACCATGATCCTCAGATCTCAGCCTCCTGTGTAGGTAGGATAACAAGTATGAGCCACTGATACCTGGCAGGGACTGCCTTTTAGAGTGGCCTCTGCGAGCCCCAACACACTATCCCCTGTAAACTCAGCCAGCAGGCCAGGCAGCTAGAGTACAATCAGATCTATAAAGAATCCAGAGTGCAGCCAGATGCTGGTGGCTCATGCCTGTAATCCTAGCTACTGAGGAAGCTGAGATCTGAGGATCACAGTTCAAAGGCAGCCCGGACAGGAACATCCATGAGACACTTCTCTCCAATTAAACACCAGAAAACCGGAAGTGGTGCTGTGGCTCAAGCGGCAGAGCACTCGCCTTGAGCTGAAGAGTGCAGGGATAGCGCCCAAGCCCAGAGTTCAAGCCACATGACTGACCAAAAAAAAAAAATAAATAAATCTCATGGAGGGCTCGGAAGGGGTCTCAGTGGTGTAGTGCTTGCCATGCATGCATGAGGCCCTGGGTTCAATTCCACAGCACCACATAAGCAGAAAAGGCCAGAAGTGGCGCTGTGGCTCAAGTTGTAGAGTGCTAGCCTTGAGCTGAAGAGCTGAGGGACAGCACCCAGGCCCAGAGTTCAGGCCCCATGACTGACAATAATAATAATAATAAAGGAAAAAAAAATCTCATGGACTTTCCTACATACCCTGGCTTTGAACTGTGATTCTCAGATCTTAGCCTCCTAAGTAGCTAGGAGTACAGGCATGAGACCAAGGCACATGGCTGACAAGGAGGCATTATTAAGAAGGTAAAAACAGAAGTAGAGGTAAGAAAAGGGAGAACTCAAAAATTCATATGGTGGGGCTGGGGAGGTGGTTGGCTCAGTGGTAGAGTGCTTGCCTTGCATGCATGAGGCCCTGGGTTTGATTCCTCAGCACCACATAAGCAGAAAAAGCCGGAAAATGGTGCTGTGGCTCAAGTGGTTGAATGCTAGCCTTGAGCTGAAGAGCTGAGGGACAGCGCCCAGGCCCCGAGTTCAAGCCCCACAACTGACAAAACAAAACAAAAAATTAAAATGGGGGCT